GCAGTGGCGTATCGCATGAGCCGTTAATCGAAATTACGAGATATGAGCTCGATTCGAAGGGAATAAACGTACGTGAGGTTTTAGGATCATTTATCATGCAGAGCATTCGCTAGTCATTTCACTCCCGACAGAGGATTCTGACTGCTGAATGTGCGTTATTCCGGCCGTCTGCAAAAATCACGCCCGGCATAAAAGGACTACCTAAGTAGTATGGATTGTTTTATTTGATTTTTCATGCTCTTATAACTCCAACCATTTTCATCTTATAAAGCATGCGCAAAATATCGTTTCGCTTGTGCTCATTTGGTTTTAAACGAATGCTCTTCAGATTTTCCATCCGAAGAAAGGGTAGCTTCTGGTTCGAAAAAAGGTTGCACTTACGAGATTTTTGAAGACCGTGAAATGTGTTCGAAACTAGCATCCTATTTGTACATGTATTAATTGTCCTCCTGAAGTACACAACGTGCTCCATGCCCATTGGACCCTTTTATTTTTTCTGTATGGGATTCTTTCAATGGTTGAGGGAAATTTTTAATTTTTCTGAAATGAAAAGTGCACAATTTGCTGATTGGAAACCCATAAGTAGGTCGAATTTGAAATTCTTTGAGAATTGAAAAGGACTTTTGAAACCCTAAGGTGACGTGATGTTTTACAGAAAGGGTAAAAACCGATATGTTTGTACATGCTTGCTAGTAAAATATGTTCAGATTGATTAGGACGTCAAAGATCAACGGGACAAAGGTCATACTCCGCAAATAGTTCATTATAGCGAGTGTGATATTTACAGGTGACCGGGGGAAGCGTGCATGTAAAAGCAAAAACCTTGACATATCTGAAAGATATGTAACTTGTGTTGCATGCTAATACACATTAGAATGTCATCTACCTAATCCTTTTAAACCCAGATCATATATTTCAGAATTGCTAAGCCCACAGCATAGCTTGCTAGGTTACACGTGCCTCCATGAAAACTGGCGGTAGATTACTGCCGGACGTACTATATCACCGTTTTCTCCCCACCAGCACCTACACACATAGTCACACCTGACATCGCACAACGTACACACGCAAACGCCAACCCTCTCATGTTAGTAGGCAATGTCTTCCATGACTCCTTCTCCATGTGGCTCTTTTTGTATGTATGTGATCCTAGCGTGAGACTATCCCAGTGCGCTAAATACCGTGGCTTAAAAGGTTGCGACCTCACGATTGAATTCATACCTCGCAGTCAGTCATTACGGGTTCTTTGTGGAGTGATCGACTGGTGGACTGAGAGTCAGGCTGCAATATATGGCCTCTATGGCACACTCTCACTCAATGGGATCCTAGTTGGGTGTAACGGTATGCCAAGAGGCGGCTCCTGTTGTGCCAAAAATGACCTTGACTTGGTCATGATGCCGGGCCCAGGTTGGAGCGAGAGAGGAGAGCGTGTGATAGATGCAACACAAGTCTACCCCTGACTATGATGTAATTCGCTCGCAAGTCACCACCCCCCACCCCGCCACCTTGGCGTCATGCCAACGGTAAACCCGACGGTCGAACTGTCATCGTAGTATTTTGACCTGATTGCTGGCCGCTCAGCGACTAGCTATCTTACTTTCCTTTCTCGTTGATTTAGACTACGCTTGCGTTCTGGACGGTGAATACGGACTGAAAAGCCGATCATTTCGCAGCTTCAGCTTCTCCAAGTCCATGTCCACAGAGAAGGCCATCAGTCAGTGTTTGAAGGCCTTTTATTTGGTCGGCGACCCTCGAGACTACACCCTGCTGGAAATGAATGAGAAGGGTAGGTAGTGCTCTTCTTACGTCTATTATTCTATCCAACCGATGCAGTCAGTATACCACCTGCAGACATAATTATGTATTTTGCATTTCAGAGTCTCTGTCCATTGCGGTGGCAGACCATATACTAATGTAACTTAATGTAGGACATCTAAAACCCGGCGCCGATTTCAAAAAAATATTTGAACTGACACTTTTCGAGGTTTTCAAATGCTAGTTCGCAAAAAAGTTTTCCTTCTATAAATCGTTAAAGAAACAACTCGACTCTGTTGGCTTTGGGTGGTAGTAAAAGCACTGCTTTCTTGCAGATCGAGTGGTTTCAAGTTTGAGTAGAAGCAGACGCAATCGCTAAGACAAGCAGTTCCCTCGCCTGACGTTTCGGATTCCCTTGCGAACTCATCATCAGAGGCGGTAGCAGGGACTGGTAGTTCGTACACACACAGAGAGAGCTACAATATCTAAAAGGATGTAGTTGCTATGTTGCTGCATACCTGTATGACAATTAACGCCCCCCCCCCCTTATTGAGGGTAGTTGCTCGCTTGTGCGCTAATTGCTCGATGGCCGGCGTACGGTCTTGACCTGCTGGAATGTCGTCACTCGTGCTGGATTTTGGCTTGATGTTTGCTTGGCCACCTAGCTCACCAGCACTGGAGTTGGAAGATGTTATGCAGTGGGCTCCTCGAGCGGTGAATTGACCCAAGCGAGCAACCATCCTTGATAGCGGGGAGCCGTTAATTTTCACGGTTATGCAGTAGCATAGCGAATAAATCCTCGTAACTGCTGCTACTTTCTCTGATGATGAGTTAGCGGGGGGATCTGAAACGTTAGGTGAAAAAAGTTCCTGTCCCAGCGATCACGCCTACTCCTCAATTATTTCCTGGGACTCGCATTTTCGTTTTTATCGTTTTCCAGTTTTTGGGTCTTTTGTGATGAAGACTGCATGTGCGCAATATGCATGCAT